GCATGTAGGGAGTGGCCACTCTGAGACAGAGCTTGCAGCATTTGGACCAGCAGGGGAGAGGGAGGGAATGTGAGGAATATCCTGACTCAGCAGTTGCCCTCCGCCTGAGATGGCTAGGGGAGGATTGATTGCTGAGGACATGCAGATGGCGGTCACTCTAGCGCCCTGGGCTTGTTAGGGGAGGAAGGCCTGGGGACTGTAGGGATCAGAAGCACCAAGGTGTCCCCAAAGCTGCTGGGGAGGTGAGGAAGGGAGCTGGGTCAGGGGCCCTGGAGGGACGTCTTTGGATAGGGTCACGCCTTGTGTGCAAAGCAGTGCCATCTGGGAAGAGGGTCCCTCCTGAGGACGTTTGGGAGCAGTGTGACAGGGGTGGTGGGAACTGCTGGGGAGCAAGGGTGGCCCTGGGGTGGGAGAGGCCCTCTCCACTACCCATTAATTCGGAAGCTCTCATAACATCTCTTAATTATCTGACAGCCCCTCCGCAGGCCGGGCACACACACGCCTCCTGCCCAAGCTTCCTTTTGAGTATGGTTATTTTTAAAACAGTCTTGCTAAGTCAGGTACCCCCAATTAAACTCACACCCATAATCCTGGCTGCTGACATTTGTCCCTGTGCCTCCTGGGGGGTAGGTGCAGCTTACGTAAGGCTGACTCATGTACACGCAGCTGGGTCAGGCTCCCTGAGCACTGGGCTGCTGGGGGTGGGTGTATGTGTTAGACATTTGGCTCTGGAGGAACCCTCCTTGTCTGTAGGCAGGGACAGCCCATGACACTCTCCGGGCTGGACTCCAAGCTCCCCTTGTTGACACTGCTGCCAAGCGGAGACCTGCGTCATTTACCTGCTCTCATGTGAACCTATCTGACTCATGTGAAAATGAATTTAGCTGAACCTAGCCGGATGGAGGACCAACTGTGGGGACTGCATAGGATGGGGAGGGTGGGGACGTGCATTTATATAGAGATCTCCAACTATTTTGAGCTGGGAAACCCTATTTTAACACTGAAAAACTTTTTATTGAGCTCCAAAAGACAGTGGTGGCATGACAGACAGGTGTCTGTCATTTGAGAAAAATCTGTGAAAGCAACCAAATTTAGTGAAGTGAAAACTAGAAATGAAACCTCACAGAGGTTTGAGAGGATGATAGCGAACCTCTGCTAATCTGTGCCTCAAAAGTGGGAGCAACGGTGTTCACTACAGCACTGTAAAATAAGGGGAGAGAACTACAGTTCACTGGGGGAACTGCCCCTTATCTGGGTATGAGGTTTAGCAAGAGGCACTGCACTGCATAGACTCATGTGTGTGTGTGTGTGTGTGTGTGTGTGTGTACAGTGGGAAGGAGACATGTTACAACACGGTATTTTGAATATTTTGAATATTCAGTGACCCTAAGGAAGGGGTGATGGGAAGGAGCAGTGCATGTGTGCCATGGCGGAAGTCAATTCTGAGGGTGAGCTTTGGGCCAGCCCTCCAGCCTGGTGGGTAGGAGAGGGGTTGAGGAGGTGGGCAGGGGCCACATCACACAGACTCCTGTCAGGACTGCAGGGAGCAGAGCTTCCTTACCCTCAGAGGGCAGGACAGGGGGCAGTGGGAAGCTTTTCCACCAGCTAACTGAAATGCTTTGGGTTGTGGCTACCACCTCATCCCCTCTTCAGTTTCTCTGCATTTTGTTTAGTAGCTTGGTGGGTGTAGAGCAGCCGTGGGGAGTTCTTTAATCTGCAATCCCCGGGATCCTGTTTCCCAAACCTCAAATCTGGGCCTGAAGTCTGATGAGTCCCAGGAGAGCTGTGTAGATTTCGAGGCCGGATCTATAAAATCAGGACCATCCATAATCCCAGAGGCCTACGGTAGCAGGAGGAGGGGAGAAGCTGGTCCAGGGCCCACTCCCACTCCCCTGCTCCAGCTTCCTTCCTGGGGGGCTGGGAGCGGCCAGCCCACGGCGTCCCTGAGTCTCCTCTGAGCCCTCCTTGGGGTGCTCCTCCCCAAGCAACGTGCTGAGAAAGCACTTGCGAGCCACAGGGCAGGAGTGGGGCCAGGGGTCAGGGTGCCTTTTAATTTCTCGTAGTGATAACAGCTGTCGAACTCAAGCAATTAAGGAGGAAGACTCCCCCAGGATGCCAGAGGTCCAGCCCCCCAGCTGCACACAGCTTCCTCCCTTCTCCTTCTTCCACCCCTACCCCCACCTCAGGCTCCCCCTCTTTGAGCCCAGGAAGCTGTGAGCTGCAGTTCTCAGGGGAAAAAGACCTACAGTGGCCCCCTCCCCTTCCCCTTAGCAGAGAGGAAGGACTCACAGAGCAGCAGGGGCTGCTAGATGAGGAAGCTGCCTCCCCTTCGATGCCACCCGCTCGTGTACTTTGGAAATGAGGTCCATTCCTATCGAGGATAGAGCATAAACATGACTGAGGACCCTGCAACTTTCCTTGTGCCTCAAGGCTGGGTGGCTTTCTATTCAGCCTGACTTTTGTGGGGTGCGGAAAAGGGACACTGGTGGCCTTTCTTTGATTCTGTTAGCATCTCCAGGGTACTCAATATCTCTCCCGTTTCCTCTCCATCGTCTGGTAGGGTGTTCCTTCCAGCAGCCTCCTCTGGATCCTGCCACGGCCTGGACCCAGCTGTAGGGAGCACATGTGCTCAGGGTTCTACTTGAGTTAACATCAGTCCTGCCACATGGATGGAGTGTGGTTTGGGATGCAGGAGCCAAGCTCTACCCTCCTGTGCAAACATCACACTCTCCCCACTGGCAGTTGAAACACTGCCATGAATACTTGTGTCCCTCAAGGCTGTCTCCTTATTAAATGGCAAACACCCCTGGCAAGGACCCCCTCAGCCTGAACAAAAAAAATCTGACAGCTGACATTGATAAAGGAGGGTGGGAGGCTCACTGGCCAGGATTCCCAGGGGGTGGGGAGAAGTGGGGGGCAGAGGTTTACAGAGAAGAGTAGGTGCCCGTCACAGCTTCCTCCTGTTTCTGATTAAGACTCCAGAGCCCAGGACACTGACAGTGAGGCTGGTCTTCCATGACTCAACAGGAAAACAAAAGCCACTATATTTGCATGATCATGACCATTGCCATCTATAGTGTCATATGGGATGTGGGGTGCCAAGGATGCCACAAAGGTGCCCGACAAGGGCTACCCGGTGTGGGGCTCCCAGCTCTCCTGTGGAAGTTGTAGAGGAAGGTGTGTGCCAAGTGCTGTTTTTATGAGATTAGGGAGGTGGTGGTAACTGGAGAAAATCTTAGGCAGAGAGAGGGGCCGTGGGACTCTGTTAGGAGCCTTTGCCATTGTGTGGGTGGCAGCTGGAGGGGTCCAAGGCTGATCGCAGTGTGAATGTAGGAGCCAGGACCGCTGGGGAAGAATTTTGGAAAACTTTATTTCCTGGGTTCACTGTGGAGGACGGTAGGGCGGGGAGCTGAGTATCTGTGTTCAACTCAGGGACCTGGGAGGTAGTGCCTGCAGAGGGGAGGCTGAGGGTGCTATGCTTAGATGCACAGTGAAGTCCACGCTGACGTGTTGGGTTGGTGAAGCCATTCTCAAGAGTGCAGGATAGAAGGCAAACTGGGGACATCCGAATGCAGTTCTTTCTGAAGAACATATACGAGTATCAGCAGTCCTGGTCAGTAGGAGAGGCCCAGCAATTTCCTTGAGTACTTTGCCTCTGACCAAAACTTTCTACCTGTGTGTGGGATGTGTCCTGGATGTGCTCTAGGTAGCTAGCTTGGTTTAGTGTAGAAGACACAATAGATTGCTGGGTTTGGAGTCTTGGGGAGCTTGCTATCAAACTGGGGGGAACATTCAAGTGAACTCATTTTTAAAAGGTTACAGTTGCCAGGTGTGGTGGTACACACCTATAATCCTAGCACTCTAGAAGGCTTGGGTAGAAAGATGGCAAGTTTGGGCTGGGGATTTAGCTCAGCAGCATAAATGCTTGCCTGGCAAGCACAAGGCTGTAAGTTCAATCCCTGGTACCAAAAAAAAAAAAAAAAAAAAAAAAAAAGAAAGAAAGATGGCAAGTTCAAGCCCAGCCCAGATAATTTAGCACGGCCCTTTTCAAAAAACAGCTGGGGATGTAGTTCAGTGCAAAGGCCCTGAGTTCAATCCCCAGTACCACAAAAAAGGAAATAAAAGAGTTACACTTGTTTATGGCCTCCTATCATACTGAGTCATTTTTTTATTGCTGTATAACACATGACTATAAGCTCAGCACCTCCAAATAACACCTATTGATTAGCATGCTGTTCTGTAGGCTGGAAGTCTGGGTTTTCTGTTCAGTTTGTCACAAGGTTGAAAGCAAGGTGTCAGCTGGCCCTAGGTCTTGTCTGGAAGCTATTGGAGGAAAACTCACTGTGGAGCTCATCCTGCTTATAGGTAGAATTCAGTTCTTTGCAAGCATAGGGTCTATTCCTTGCAGGCTGTTAGCTGCTAAATGCTACCTGTGTCTATACCACATATCCCCCTCCTTGTGGAAGCCAGCAAGGACAATGTACCTCCGGTCCTGCTTCCCATCTCTGGCTTCTTCTTCAACCAGCAAACAAAACTACTTTAAAGGGTGTATTTGATTAGGTCAGGGCCAGTGGGACCATTTCTGATTTTTATTCAGTTGTGCCATGTAACACAAGCTAATCCTAGGATGGAAACTTGTTGTGGTCATAGTCCTGGGATTGCACAAGGGTGAGGGTATTCCTGGGGGGGGGGAAGGGGAGGACTCTTGGGGGAAGCATCTTAGAATTCTCCCTCCCATGCCTAGAACTGAAAGGGAAGTTGACAGCGGCTGTGAGATGTGTCCTGCTTGGCCCCATTTACATATTCCCCCCCCCCCCCCCCCCCGCCCAAGACAAGCATGTGCTGGCCCCAGACTTTGCCCCGCAGCTGCCTTAGCCTGGAATAGTCTTCTCCAAGGCATTTCCACCGCATCGCCCTCTGTTGTCCCCCACCTGAAATAGAAACAACCCTGCCCAACCTGCCCAGCCCTGTCCCTCCCCTTGCTTTATTTTTCTGCATAGGACTTATCACCACCAAATCGAGTTATCTGTCTTCTTGTTGGAACATAAGCTTAGCAAATGCCTGAACTTCGGCTCCTCCAGTGTTTGATCTTGGTATCCACGAAGTCCCTAGAGCACGGTAGGTAGCTCCCAGAATGCCTGGATGTGTTGTTTTTAATCCTGCTGAGAAATTGTATTTTACAGCAAAAATTAGATGAAAAATTACTGCTGTATTATTTTTGTTTTATAGCCTAGACATTTTAATGAATTAAAAATATTTGACTGAAGCAAGTTAAGCCGGGAGGGCAATGATAAAATTAGAGAAAAATGTGTGCAGTTAAAACACAGAAAATCATTGAAGAAAATCAATGAACCCAGAAGTGGCTTTTTCAAGAAAATCAATAAAAATTGACAATCTTCACCCAGATGATCAGGGGAAAAAGAAAGAAGAAACACATTACTATATCAAGAAAGGAAGAGGCATCTTGACCACAAATTGTTACAGATATTAAAAGACTATAAGAAAATATTATGAAAAATTTATTCCTATAAAGTCTATAACTTAGATGAAATAAATTAATTCTTAAAAGACACAAACTATAACCAGTTATTTCAAGGGAAGAGATCCTGAATAGGCCTATAGTGATTCTCAAGGAAAACTGAATTTGTAGTTAAAAACTTTCCCACAAAAGAAACCTCTAGCCCAGAAAACTTTACAGATGAGTACTACTAAACATTAAAGAAGAAATAAAACCAATTCTATGCAAAATTTCTAGAAAGTTGAAGGGAATACTTTCCAGTTCCTTAGACAAGGCGAGCATTACCCTGATAACCAAAATCAGACAAAGATATTATGAGAAGAAAAAACTGCAGATCAATACTCTTCATGAACCTAAACACAAACTTTCTAATAAAATTCATATATATATATATATATATATTATAGCTCTCTATCTGTTCCTCTCTCTGTACGTTCATATATTTGTGTACATATATATATATATGTATATATATATATGTATGTATATGGGTATATGGGTATACTAATATATTGTGATCAAGTGGAGCTCATCCTAGGAATGTAAAATTAGTGTAACAATTCAAAATCAATTATTGTAGTATAGCATTTTAACAAATTAAAAAGAAAATACATAATCTGGGTGTGGTGATTCATGCATTTAGTTCCAACTACTCAGGAGGCTGAAGTAGGAAGAATTCTTGATCCAAAAGACCATGATCAGCCTGGGCAATGAAACAAGATCTTGTCTCAAAATAAATAGCGAGATGTGTGGCACATGCCTGGAATCCCAGCACTTGGGAGGTTGAGGTGAGTTCATTGCAAGTTTGAAACCAGCCTGGGCTACAAAGTGAGTTCAAGGCCAGCTTGAACTGCATAATGAGTCCTGTCACAAAAAACAAAACAAAACAAAACAAAACAAAGAACACAACAACCAAGAAACCCAAAAACCAAAAAGACAAAATTAAAAAAAAAGAAGGAAGGGAGAAAGATAATACAATCTTCTCAACAGATGTAGGAAAAGCATTTGACAAAATAAAATCCAATATCCATTCTTGATTTTAAAAACCTTAGCAAACCAGAAATAGAAACAAACTTCTATAACCTAGTAAGCAGCCTCTACAAAAAAATCTGTAAGATGCAGTGTTTTCCTGCTAAGATCAAGAGTAAGACAAAGCTGTCGACCTAAGTTTTAAGTTTCTTACGTCTTTTAAATATTGTGTGAAATGTTTTTAACCAGTGCAATAAGGTAAGAAAAATAAATATAATCAGCGGGGACAGAAAGAACTAAAATTGTCAGTTTTTACTGTTGAGATAGTGATTAGGAAGTCTGATGGAATCTACAAAGAAGTTACTAGAAATGAATAAATAATCTAGAAGATTGCAAGACATATAACATTGATATACAAAAATCAATAGTATTTCGACATATGAGCAATGCACAATTAGAAATTGAAATTTTAAAATAATACTTAAAATATTACTCATTGCCCTGGGCGGTCAGGGATTCTTCAGATCTGGGAAATCTTAGATTATGCCATTTATTGTATAGTCATTCGTACTCTTCCTGCCTTTTGCTATTTTTCTTCTACTTTCTGGACTCACTTTGTCTTCTAAACTCTGAATTCTTTATTCCTGCTATTGCATTTGACTTTTCAAGGTCTCTGTCTTGTTCTCTGGCGTTTGAAAAATAGTATTCTATTTTTGCTTCATTTTTGCCGTGTTTTCCCTTATCGTGCTTGAGAAGGATAAGGCGCTGTTATTTTTACCCTAGCTTCTTGCTCTGTGGACTCTGCTGCCTCCAGGTCACTCTGGTTCTGCTCTGGTCTCTGAGTGGGGAACTTTCCTCAGGTGTCTCATAATCCTCCTCTGTTTGCTTATTTTTCAGTGTGGAGCTCTGCAGAGCCGGCTTCAAGGAGCATGCGTGTCCTGTAACCTGGGAGCTGGGTCACCAGGCTGACCTGGCAGAAACAGTTCATTCTGAGGCCTCCTTTTGGGTTTTTGCATTCTGGCTGGTGAGATTCTGCGGATTCACATCCCCAGATTCCTACCGGGAGGGCGAAGCCCAGTGTCTTGGGCTTCCAATGGCCAGAGGACCAGGACTCTGTCCTCAAGGGTGAACATTTTCAGTAGGGCCCACTGGCCAGCGACCTCTGTTTCCCTTCAGCAGCAGATCTTTAGTTGTTTCCTGGTTCTGTGAGGTAGAGGAGACCCTGATTGCTTTTATTAAATACTTTCTACCAAGACTCTGTTTGTTCCGTCCTCTTTTCCCTCTCCTGAAGAGGTGACCAGTGACACTGATTCTGGGCTATAGATTAGGTGGCTCCTGTTGCCCCGCTGCTGACTGTGTTCTTGTCACTCTTTTGCTTGTTTCTCTCTCTCTCTCTCTCTCTCTCTCTCTCTCTCTCTCTCTCTCTCTCTCCCTCCCTCCCTCCCTCCCTCTTTCTGTCTCTCTCTGTCTCTGTCTCTTTGTTTTTGAGACAAGATCTCACTATGTAATGCAGCCTGGCCTTGAACTCACAGCCTCAGCTTCCTGAATGCTGCGATTACAGGTAAGTGCCACTATGCCCAGCTTCATCTGCTTTCTAGTCTCTAAGCATCTGTTGCTAGAACTTCCGGTCCTGTTCTTCCTGTCCTTGTTATGACACCTTCAAAAAACAAAACCAAAGTGAAATATAAATCTGGAAAGACTTCAACTTTGCTTTAGAGGAGTTTCAGAAAGAAACAGAAGTAGATGCAGGTGTTCAGACAGACCCATTGCCTGGAAGTCCTCGACTCTATTATTAGGGTTAGCTTTTACTATTAGCCGTGAGACATCATCATATGAAAAACTAGCCCAGGCTTGCATCAGTCTGGTTGACTGTGACATTTCCAGTGCTCAGCACAGGGCCTGATAGGTAAGTAAGCATCAAAAGATATTCACCACTTTTACAGATCAGCAAATATACCTGAGCTGCTTTCAGAGCCTTCACATTAAGGAACTGTCCTCACTGGTGTGAGAGCTTCACCCTTTGGGACCAAATAGTACATGGAAATAACCACAGTTGATCAGTGCCAAGCTGGGTGACCCAGGAGAGAGCAAACTAAGTAGGTGCTAATAGCACTTTCTTTTCTTTTTTTGGTTTTAAACAAGGTGTGGCACCAAACTATGAGACTGATTTCCTTGTTTGGTGTACACTGAAGTCTGAGGTCAAGTCACAAACACAAGCGAAGTTCAAAATGGTTCGACAAGCTTGGTTCTCTTGGCTTCCGTCCACATGGCCTGCTTTGGGGATGGGGAAGACTTTGCAGGTGATTTGGGGCCAGCTGTCCCGTGGAGAGTCAGTTACCCTCTCTTCTCCCTAGGGGACAGCCTCTGCTGACTTCTCCGCTGCCATGGATTCCAAAGCTCCCATGTTCTCTGAGGCTAGTGTGACTCAAGGAACAGGATCTTAGGCTCAGAGACTGGGCTCAGGTTGGCAGGATTGGACAGCCCCCAGGTAGACCTGTCCTGTAGTTTAGGTATACCATGGCCCTCTGGAACCAGACTCTCATTATCTTTTGCCGGGTAAGGATACCAAGTCAGAGAGCTGCAGTGTACAGATTCCAAGACCTTTTAGTTCCAGAGCAGGAAAGGAAGGTGGCAAGGAGGGCAGAGGCTGGGAAGGGAGCTGTGTTGCCATGGTGACACTGCATGCTAACAAGGGTGAGCGTGGGGCATGTGTGCGAATCAGTACGTTGTGGTGTTCTGACTTACTCTGTGTCCAGCGCTCCCTCTGTATTGATACTTCCTGTCTGCTGCACTGTCAGTTACCGGGCATCATCATGGCTTGGGGGTCTGCCTTCTGATGCCCATTAGAAGGTCACCAGCAGCTGGAAACCGTGTCCCAGTGTCTCCATCTCATCCCAGACGCACTGTAGCCCCTTATATCATCCGGAGATTAGCACCAGGAAGTGGAGTGGGGGGTGGGACGGCCATGTGCACATAACTCTACAGCAATGTGTTGTTAGAACACTTCTATTCTATTCTTGGTTACTGTTGTTATTTTCTTGCTTTATCTTGTTTAGAAATTGATCTATATCACCAGTGTGCATGGCTAGGAAACAATACTGTATCTACAGAACTCCATAGGACAGGGGCCTCAGGTGTCCGGCCTCTTGGAATGTGGCCTCTGGGTATAAAGGTGGGCACTGGTAGTTCTGACCCCCTTCATTTTTGTTCCTGTAGGTATCAGAAATGCGCTAAACTGGTAACCAACAAAAGGACAGACAAGCAAAAGCTCTTTCTTTGGACAGTTTCAAAAAGGCAGGGTAGACGAAAACCTTCTGGGAACTGTGGTATCAAAGTGATTTTTATGACTCATTCTTGAATGTGCATTTTTTCAGACGTTATAAATCGTAGTGTAGAAGGCAAGACCTCTGGGGTGCCCCTTTCTGCGGTGACGTGGGATCTGGCTTCTCTCTGGGTGATGAGTGATGGGGTCCCCACCCCAGGCAGATTCTGATTTGAAACCTTGAAAGCTCTTAGATGCAGTTCTGATATTTGCTCCATTGTTTTTTCTCCCACCCTCAGCCCCTCTCCTCCCCCGCCTCTGCTTCCTCCTTCCTTCTTGGTGGTTGGGAATTGAATCAAGGGTTTCCCTCAGGCAAGTAGCCTTGCTGAGCTACATCCCAGCTGGTTTTATTTTCTACTTTGGGACAATCTCATTAAATCACCCCGTGGGCCTCCAACTTGCAATCCTCCTGCCTCAGCTTCCTGAGTAGCTCACATTTCAGGCATGTGCTAGCCTGCCCAGCTTATTATTTCTTTGAGTGCCAAAAGGAAATTCTGGCTTGTTGATGGCTCATTCTTTTATTCAACCACAGTGGTTAAGTGCGGGCTTTAGAGCCAGGTAGACTTGCGTGTATGATAACCCTGGGCATGTTACTTAAGCTTTCCTAGCGTTGACTTTACCCTGTAATCTGCGTCTGGGACTCAGGCTGTGACACAAGCTACAGATAGGGGTGTGGCAAAGCAGACAGTGCCATGATTCTTGTGGTCCTCCAGAAAGCGTCTAGAGGCTGGGATGTGGCTCAGCATTCGGGTGCTTGCCTGGCTTCGATCCCCAGCAACTAAAGGGCAAAAGCAGTGCCCTGGCCCCATCTCATAGTCTACATGTGCTGCATACACGTGCAGGCTTTTTAGTTGGGGACAGGAGAGAGGATATGGAAAATTCAGTGAATTGCTGTCTCACACATGCATGTACACACACACACACACACACACACACAGCTTCACAAGTTAGATGCTTTGGATAGCAGTTTGAGGCTGGCACTGGGTACAAATGCTTTGTGCCTTAAGAGCCGAGTTCTCCTGGCCGGTGGTATGGAGAGCAGGATGAAGGAAGGGGCAGGCCTGTGTCTGTGTATGCATTTGGGGCTGTGAGAGACTTTTCTGGCTGGGGCTGGACAGATGTGTGGTGAGACAGGGAAGGCAAGGCTGTGACACAGTCACCACAGTGATTTGACCCCACAGTGCGCAGGCTGGATGCGCATGCCACACCCTTTCCTTATGGCACCTCACACACCCTCAGGACGACCCTGTAGTGCAGGGATTATTCTTCATAGTTTCTCAAGGAAACTGCGGCTTGGAGAGGCTGAGTAATCTGCCCACAGATCCCAGCTGGAAACAGGCAGGTGCACAGTTCGAATGCACAGCGTAGATGCAAGGTGCTACATAGATGGATGCATACATGCACACAGGGATCCCAGCCTTGCATTAGCTCCCCGAGCTAATGCACCCCTAGCTGAGTCAGGTGCTGTTCTGGTGTGGGATCTGGTGTGAAAAAGTGGCCTTGGATATTCCCATGGCCTTAGTCCCCAGAGGTAAAACTGCATGCACTGGTGAGGGGGGCGGGTCCCACCTCAGCCACGATGCCCTGGCCAGGCCTTAAAGCTGCAGGTACCTGCTACCATGCCGTACTCCCTTAGCTGCCTTCCTTGCTTCAGTCCAGTGTTTTTGTTGTGGTTGTTTGTTTGTTTTTGAGGCAGGGTCTCATTATGCTATTCAGGCTGGCCTTAAACTCGCTATGTAGCTCAGGCTGGCCTCAGACTTACGGTTATCTTCCTGCCTCAGCTTCCCAAGTACTGTGATTACAGGCTTGCACCGCCATTCCTGGTGACCTTGGCTGTTTTTGTTGTTGTTGAAATATTTTTAAAAAAGTAAAGGCATCATATCATAGTGCATACCCATGGTTATAGCAGCACAACTCATAAGTAGCTACATCTTGGAAGTGGTCTATAAGATGGATAAAGAAAATGTATTCAGACACAGAGGAGTTCGCTGCTCTGCTATAGAGAAGGACAAACTTCAGTCATCCATAAGAAAATGGATACACCCCGAGGCCATAATGTGAGTATACAGAAGCTTCAATATAGCATGGTTTCTTTTATATGGGCAAAATAAAAGATGTGGAAATAGGGAGAGAGATTTTTCTCATGTGGAAAGGAGACCAAGAGATGTAGGGAGAGGAGGCAAAGGGGATAAAAAAAGGAACGAAGATGTGTCATCATGTGTATGCACCAACAAGGAGTGTGATCACCATGTGCTGCGAGTGTGCACATTTTTATATTATTTATAAAAATAAATATTAGACACAGTTTAACTGAGGCACAATGATTGCACTTATTAATGGGGTACAGTGCAATATTTTGCTACAGGTGCATGGGGTATAATAAGCAGATCTTAGCAGCTGCGATACCATTCCCTCAAGCACTGGTCTTTTCTTTGAGTTGGGAATTAGATATTTTGAAATATTGAATTAAATGTTGCCATAATACTTTTCCTCCCGTACTGTAGAGCATGGGAGTGATTCCTCCTACCTGGCAGCCCAGTCTAGCTCTGCCCCTGCCTGGGGTGGGAGAGCACTTTGCAGCATTACCGAGTGGACCCCACAGCCCCTCTCTCCCCCAGGGCCCAAGCCACCATTCTCTGTCCCCAGATGAACAGCAAGGCAGGGCTCCGCTCTGGCCCTTGCACATACCCTCATACTTCTCTGTCCCAAGAGAGCTTGCAGGCAGCGCAGCCTCCAGTGCGGAGTGTCCCCAGGGGCCAGGGCTGCTCACAGAGCCTCCTGGATGTCCCTAGGGGCCAAGTGCAGCACTGCTCTCCTGCACCCCCTAGAGGCCTGGGGTGGCACTGGGTGTGGCACCCAGGAGGGTCCTGGCAAAGGTGTCCAGAGACGGTCCAAGTGTCCTCGGTCAGGCAATTCCCTGTCTGCCGCTGCCA